GGGCGGCCGCGTCTCCGCGCACTGGGTCGGGCATCGAGGCTGCGTGCGCGAGGACCCGGGACGACCCTCCTGAACACCCGGGAGCACCCTGGGAGCCACGCCCGGGGCCTGTGGGTAAGCGGGAGCCTCTGGAGGGGACACGCGTCCAGGCCAGCCGCCTGCCCCAGGATGCCTGCGATGCCTGTGCCCCAACCTGGGGGGGGGGTGCCCACACGCTCTACAGCCTTTCCCCCCAGGTGCCAGCCCAGCAGCTCCTTTCCACTCTTAGCTGCCAGCAAAAGTGAGGGACTTCGTTAAACTCACAGTCCACTCACCTCCTTCTTGGACACTCCTGACCCAGCAAATGTGGGGACCTGTTGACAGTCTACAGCCTCCCAGACACCTTGCCCTGCTACTGGGCAGGCTAAGAGGGAGACTGGTCACCCCGCCCGGCCCAGCTCGCTGTCTGTCTGCACCCCGGCTGGAAAAGGGTAGCCCCTGGGGACTGGGGCATGGTGAAGACCCAGCCTTGTCTCTGGGAGGCCCTGCCCAGGGAGCGCCTGCAGGGGGCGCTGTAGCCAAGCCAGCGCCCACCCCTGGGGCACAGGGTCTGGAAAAGCATCTGAGCCACCACCCTCCCTCCCACGGCCATGGCATCCTGCCCATTGCCACAGATGCCTCACTTGGTTCTGTCCCGTGGTCCCCAAGCTGGCGCAGAGCCCAAAGTAGGCCTCAAAAGGGGTGTCAGAGCCACACAAGAGTGGACTCCCATCTGTCCTGCCCCCGGAGCTTCGTCCTCCTCCCCGACACCGACGGGGGGCACCAACAGAAGGGGCAGCTCTGGAAGGGGGCACTGAGCTGCTTCCTCGTTGGAGTCAGGGGGTCCGCTTCACCCCACCAGCTCTGGCTGCAGCTCTCGGGAGAGGAGAGCAGCAGGGCAGAACGGTGGGTCATGCCCAGGGGGGCTGCGGAAACCCATGAGTCAGGCTGCTGTGCCACCTCCCGCTCTGCCCACCCCGAGATTCAAGCTGCCTCACCTAGGCCCAGGGCAGCCCCACCCTCTCCTGGGCGGCCCCAGTGCCCTGACTCATGTCCTGTGCCCAGGTCTAATTGCCCCCTTCCCGGACAGGCGTCACCCTAGAGGCCCTGGTCAGAGTCCCCGTGTCCCTCCTAGCTCTGGTGACCCTGCATGTCAGCCCAGACACAAGGTGACACCCCAACAGGCTGTAAAAGAGTTGGGGGAAGATGAGGAGGTGGGACAGTGAGGGCATGAGGGAGGGTGGGCGCGGCCTCAGCCCGCCTATTTAAGCAAAGGCTTTAAAACGCCCAGACGGAGGCCCCACCCACTGCTGGTAACCCAGACCCTCCCCTAGAGCCCCCCCATCTGGACACACCTGCTGGCCCCTCCCATATAGAAGCCCCTGCTGCCCTGTGCGTAAGGAAGCTGATGGCCATAGCCCAGCCCCCAGCAGTGCCGAGGGCCTGGCGCTCCTGGAAGTGGCCGGCAGCCAGGCCACAGGTTCACGTCACTGCGTTCAGCTTTATTCTCACGGCCATCTGTCCCAGCCAAGGCCAGGAGGCGGGTCTGGGCCACAGACCCAGAGAATGGTCCCGGACGGGCGGGGGGTCTCCTGCTCACTCCCACCAGCCTCCTTCGGTGGGGGGGTCCTCCAGAGACCACCGCGGCAGCGAGGGCCTCACAGCAGAGCCAGAGCCCAGGCTAGGAACCACTTTTGGGGGCCAGCCGTCGCCCCTGTCCTCAGGCTCCGCCCAGCTGCACCTCTGGGGCCCAGCGCAGGCCTCCTTGTCCGAGGACCCGCTCCAAAGGCCCTGGCTCCCCAAGCTCCAGGGCGGCCTGGGCCCCCCACTGAGGCTCCATCGGCAAGAGGACGGCACTCCCCAGCTCCCGGGCCACGGGGTGTCACTGGCTGAGGGAAGGGGTGAGAGGACGCTTCTCCGGTTCCTGCATCTCGAGGCCTAGAGGGAAAAGCTCAGCTCAGGTCTGTCCCTGGGGTCTCAGCACTGCTGGTGGCCCTTCCCCACTGCCAGCCCTGCACCCCGACTCCTCCTGCTCTCCC